ACTTGTTTTGCTTAATCATAAACTAAAACTTATCTATATACTTGTTTTGCTTAATGATAAACTACAGACTTATCTATATACTTGTTTTGCTTAATGATAAACTACAGACTTATCTATATACTTGTTTTGCTTAATGATAAACTACAGACTTATCTCTATACTTGTTTTGCTTAATGATAAACTACAGACTTATCTACATACTTGTTTTGCTTAATGATAAACTACAGACTTATCTATATACTTGTTTCCCTTAATAATAAACTAAGACTTATCTATATACTTGTTTTGTTTAATAATAAACTACAAACTTATCTATATACTTGTTTTGCTTAATAATAAACTACAGACCTATCTATATACTTGTTTTGCTTAATAACAAACTAAGACTTATCGATATACTTGTTTTGCTTAATAACAAACTAAGACTTATCCATATACTTGTTTTGCTTAATTATGAACTGAGACTTATCTATATATACTTGTTTTGCTTAATGATAAACTACAGACTTATCTATATACTTGTTTTGCTTAATGATGAACTACAGACATACCTCTATACTTTTATTGGTGTACACAGCTGTGGGAGTTATTTTTGCTACATAGTTCTTACTGAAATCGACTTGTATAAATGTAAACGACCTTTCAACAGATAGGAGTTCTTCATATGGCGGAGAACGGTTAAATACGTGGCACTTAATTGTTCCATTGCTACTTGGCCAAAAGTACATTTCACTTGGAAATGAAGGGCAACCCCGGAATACTTTACTTGAAAACTTATAGTTGAAATAATATATAATATATCGTATTGGTGTATTTTCGATGAAATATGACATTTCCTGTAAATCAATCATGAGAAAGTGATTCAAAGTTAACATATACACACACATATATATATATATATAAAACAAACAAAAATACACAAACTATTTTCATAAATATGGCTAACAAAGATGGTCATGTGATATCTTTATGTGATTAGTACTCACTGTCAAACTCAATAGGAAAAAATAGTAACATTAAAACATCAGTACAAAACAGGAAATTAAACAAGACTTCGCAATAGTCGGTATTACAGAGTCAGTTAACACAACAGTTGCATCCTATATTTTAACACGAAACAGTGAGTTCAATGTTTAGTATGAATAGTATAAACTAAAATGAACTAGAATGCTTTAAGGGGTGTTTTAAAGGTTCCTAGTAATCACGAAAATGTGAGTGTTATCAAGTCAGATAAAATTATTAATAAGCTGAACAGTTTGTGCTTCAAAACAATAAGTAAATAACTTACTGGATAATTCTACCTATTAAAATTATCTGCTTTTCTAAATAAAAGCTTAACAATGCTGGAAAACCAATCATTTCAATCTCTTTCTTTCCTGTTACTTATAGCTTGACTATATTTTACTTGCACTACTTCTGTTATCTATATTTTTAATTTCAAGCATTACAATTTCTAAGCTCTGTTTCCGGACTTTTTATTTACCATCTTTGTCGTTGATTATTAATTAATTTATTAATTTGATTGTTTTTGTCTTATTATATTTTATCAAATGTTTGTGATTAAAAATTGTATTTTGACTTCCTTATTTCATATTGTTACGTTTCTGGTCGTTTGTTGATTTTCCGTATAATTTCTTTCAAATGAAACTTTAGCGATACAAGTACTTTCTTGAATAAAACTATTTTATTCTTTCTCAATACCACTTTGCAATACACTTAATTTCCACAATCACATTAACTTAAACACACGCTATAATTCACAATGATTCATGCACGTTACTTACGGTTACTACCGCAGTTGACTCAATTGTCCGTCTCTATCTCTGCCTATCTGCAATTATCTATGCTGTCACTT